TTGTACAGTGTATGCAGAAGTTTTAAAAATGATAAAAATTTCTTTCCTCCTCCACTTACCTTAAATATATAATTAACTATTTCATACATTTAGAAGATTAGATGCTTATGTGTGTAATGTGTAACATGGCTAAAAAGAATGATAATACCAGTGTACTGAGCACTTAGAAATTAGAAAAACTTTTAAAGTTCATGTATGCTACCCGAAGGATGGACATATTTGAAACTCAGACTTAGGAGGGGAGGTGGGGGGGCAAGGGCAACATACATAACCTAAACATCTGTACCCCCATAATATGCTAAAATAAAAAAAAAAAAACAAAAAAAAGTTCATGTATGCTTATATCCTATCTTACTCTGTAAATTGTTTTAACTTTAAAAAAAGTTAAAAAGAGCTAAAATAAATTTTTGGTACGAATACCAATCTGTACATCTTTTTCCCCCTCACTTTGTAGAAGAAATGATCAATTTTTAAAAGTAATGTAGGCTGATCTCACTGCTAGACTTGGGATGAAATTTATAGCAGTGATGCAGTTAGTTGGACAGATTATTTGTAAAGTAGATATTTGATGGTTATTGGAAAGAGCAATAGAAGCTGAGTTTGTTTTTTTTTTTTTTTTAACTTTTATTTGCTAGTTTAGAACTTGAGCAAATAACCTATTATTTGCTTACATTTTCTTTAAGTGAACAAATTATAGTTAAACTGTATGATTTTTTTCTTTTTCATATTATTTTCTTATTTTAGCTAAATAGTAATCCTGTGGTAAAAAATAAGTTCAATTTCAATGTCATAAAACTAACTTTGTATACTAGTATAATTTTGAAAGATAAAATTCAGAAATGTAGTTTCATATGCTGAAAAAAATGTAAGCAAGATATATATTACTTTCTGGACATAGTGGATCTTGGACAATGATCATAAATAGAAACTCTGAAATGCATATCGGGCTCAGTGTATTCTGTTCTTTGTTTTAGGCTCTAAGTATGCAGTCATCTCCAAATGGCCAATTTGTAGCACCAAGTGATATTCAGCTGAAATGCAACTACTGCAAAAATTCCTTTTGTTCAAAACCAGAAATCCTGGAATGGGAGGCAAGTCATATTTTATAATGTATATTGTCTAGTGCTAAAGTGAAAGTCTAGGATAACTATGGTATTTCCATCTGGAAACCTATTTCTTGGCTTTTCAGATTTTGTGGTGATTGGATTATTTGCACTCTTATGTGGGAGTGGAACCAACAGGATTTCTTTCTTTTTAGGTCAAACTGTTGAAGTCATATTCAGGGTGTATTATGCTCATGGTAGTGTACAGAATGTCACTTTGTTTAGCTACATACCTGGAGTGACTTATCTGTACATTATTTTTCCCATTTTTCTCCCTGTCCTTACAAATAATATCTGAACTATAATATCTTGTGTTACCCAGTACCTGTAAAAATCAGAATCTGTTAGTTATATACCATGTTGTTATTTAACATTTTATAATTGTTTTAATAAAAGAGGCCTATGAATCCTAATACAAGTTTGTCTTCCCTTTCTTATCACTCTTACCTTTACTAGTTTACTAATTTACTTCGTCATGTCTTTTTGCCATTAGCAGCAACTCTGATTGTTGACTTTTGTATCCATGGGGGGAAGAGATGGCCGGGTGGACAAAGCAGCCTGGCTGCCCATTGCTTTCTTGAGCAGGGTACACCTTTGGCATTCTTTCTCTTTATTTTTTTTAGGAGTGGTAGGTCAGGGAGGTAGGGCGTGGAGTATGTAATAAAAGGTGTACAAGTTATAGTACTAGCAACAGACTGTTTCTGAGACAAAATTTATTAGCAACTATTGGCAAGTCACTCAGTATCTAAGTCTTAGCAAAAGGTGGTACCCAGACCTTTATTACATGATCCCAACATACTTTGGAAATCTGAAATTTCATTATTTTAACAGTGTAGTGACTGGAAAATTTTTTTTAGTTTATTATTTTGTTTGGTGCTGTCTCCATAGCATTTAAACCAATCATTCTTTAATACCGTTGTTGTCTTCCAGTGATGTTTTCAGTGACTAATACTCTTTAAGTAACAGCAGTAAGAATGTTGAAGGCCTTATAAGAGATAAAGGAATGATTTGGAAATGAGGAAAGAAATCCATTAGCAAGCACGAAGAATAGTATCATATAGGAAATGAAGATCCTGCATAAACTAAGTTTTGATTTAATACTAGATGAAAATGAGATCCTTTCCACCATGTCCGTGTCAGTGCTACCCACTTCTGTAGTCGTGTTGTTGTGTTGCTTTTATTTACACAGAGATTAAATGTTGGAAGCAGCTAAAAGACAACTGTCACGCTGAGTGAGAGTTGAGCTTTCCCTTAGGAGATTGGAAATTGTGGGGCCTCTTGCTTCTCTCTCCATGCTTGGCAGTTGTGGCTTCTTTGTTGCCTTCTTCCTCTTTTAAGTTATATAGTCATAACAGGGCAACTTTCTGCTAATGATGGCCTTACTACTTGAGTTGTTTCCTAGACTCTTTCACCTTCCTTATTTTGGTCTTCAGGTATCTTTGCTAAGTATTAAGTAGACGGTTTAGACTTAGTCTGTATCCTCCATAATAAAAGGGCAGAAAAGCTACCTCCCTGTAAGTTTTAGCATGTTCGTAACTGCTTGGGTGGATATTTGAAAAATAGCTCTGGCTAGTTTGGGTTTGGGACCAAGATAAATAACTAAGTAATAACAAACCATGTTCCATTCAAGGGAAATGACTCTGTCTTAAGTTTAGCAGCTCACTGTGTGATGGCACCAAATAGAATACTTCACCTGTGATACATCTGTTATTATCAAGGTGTTATAGGACTGTGACTGAGCCTACTTGCCTATACTCAACAAAGAATATTTCTTTTTGGCTGAAAATGTTATTAGTGTCATAATTCTCATCTTTTTGTAGCTTACCTGTGTTGTATCTTCCATTTTCTTCTTCCCATTCCTTTAATTCTATTAGCACCAGATTGCCATCTTATTTTAGTGATATTTTTACTCTTTCACTGAGTAATTTAAGAGTAGTTAATGATATTGGATTTTGTGGAGCTATGTTTAAATTTAGCAGAGAATTGGTTAAACTATGTGTTGGTAGCCTATGGGAAACGTATCCCCAAGGGTCTTAACATTAAATAGGTAAATGGTTTAACTTTGTTTCTGTAAAAGTGGCTTGTTTATTTCTTAAACTTATTCTTGAGGTGGTTGTCATATACTTACCAAGGTTCCTATTGTGCATTTAGAACAAAGTGCATCAGTTCTGCAGCAAAACTTGTTCAGATGACTATAAGAAGTTGCATTGCATAGTTACATATTGCGAATACTGTCAAGAGGAGAAGACTCTTCATGAAACAGTAAATTTCTCTGGCGTTAAGAGACCTTTCTGTAGTGAAGGCAAGTGTATATACAGTGTTGATAACTTTTATGGATATTTAATGTTTTTTTGCCAAAATATTTTAAAAATATATAACTACAGGTGTCAAGAATAGCCTCACAATTTTAATGTCACTGAACAAAAAATTGAGTTCACTTTTCTCCTGACTTGCTTTGTTGTTTTATATGTATTTGTAGACCTCTGGGTCTTAAGATGTTTTATCTCTAAAAATTTGGTGACCTCTTACTCCATTACAAGAAAGTTTTAGAATAAAATAAAAGCATTATCATACCATGTTATATCTAAATTACACATTGTGGTCTGAAAATTGGTTTTCCAAGTGGATTAGAATTGTGGTCCATTAGCTCCATTTTCCCTGCCCAGCATTTACTGCCTAGCCTACAAAGGTTTGCAATATAATGTTCCTGAAAGGAAATCACATGCGGCAGTGCTACAGTGGGAAGCTACTTTTTGGTGTTCAGTTTAGGATGCCAGGTAAACACTGGGTTCTGTTACAGTATATTGAAAAATTTCCTTTCCTCTCATCTACTTCTTTTTTGCTGGTCTTGTGCCAGGCAGCAGATTATGGAAATGAACTCAAGTTCAAATCGTTTTTTTTTTTTTTGAGATGAGGTCTCACTGTATTGCCCAGGTTGGTCTTGAACTCCTGGGTTTAAGTGATCGTCCTGTCTCAGCCTCTGGATTAGCTGGGATTGCAGGCACACACCACTGCACCCAGCTAGAAATAAACTCAAGTTCTAAATCTACTTCTTCAGAGATAGGAACTAGGGTTGTAGCTATGGGGTTGGGTCTCTTACTATTTACTTCTATTCTCCAGAATGTCACATTCTTATTCTAAGTTGGCTTTTCGCTTTCTGTTCTTTCCCCGGGCATGGACTATCTTCATCTATTATTTTTTATTGAGGTTTTAAAATTTTTTCTTGGATCTACTTTTCACATGGATTTCTGCTGCTAGTTTGGGGCAAGAGGAAGTTTGGAAAATCCTAAATACCAACAGTAGGGAATGATAGCAAAATCAAAAGATTTATAAGTCCATTAAACTAGGGCCTTCATTTATACTTTTCACATATAATACAGAATCATGTCTGTAAGAGGGTGCTGCTTATAAAGCAAGGCATTCCTATTTAAGCTTAATTTTATACATTTCACCTGGAATTGAAGGTAACCATATTTTACTGTTATTTAATAGCAAAGCTATAAGGAAAAATAACACATCTTAAATATTTCATTGAAAAGACTGATACAGAATTAATTTGTCTTTTTACACTTGAGTTTTTGTACAGTGTCAGTTTTAATGATTCGTAAGAACATACTGATGTTGATTGCTCACGTGTCAGTGATATTGTACGTTTAGGTTACATGAATTTTACTAAAATGTAGACAGCAAATAGGCAATTGACATTTAAGAACATAATTTTCAATTGGAGAGATTTATACATTTAGATGGATTTAATAACAGGTTAAAAAGGATGTATTTTTTTCCCTGTTAAATGACATATTTTTTGCTTTCTGTTACTATACCTTGTTCTCTGTTGAAACCTGTCAGAAATAAAACACATAATACCTAGTACTGTCATCAAAATCTAGTTAGATAAAGCTAATAAAGGTAAATTTTTAAAAATGTTTTTAAATCTAGTTCAAGGTAACAGAAAAGAAGTCATAGGGCATTACAAAAATGATTGCCAAATAAATTATATAGAAAACAATTGCACTTCACGTTTACGGATAGGAAAGATCATTTAAAACTAGATTGATGTGGGCAGTTCGTGGTGGAGGTGTAATTTTGAGCTCCTTATTAAAGTTAAGATAGGATTTCAGTAGATATATATGAGTGAAAGGTCATTCTACTTAAATGGCACAGTATGATTGGAAATGTGGAAGATTATTTAATCTTTATAGAGATATTATAGGGAATAAATGATAGATATGTAAACATATTTAAAATAACGAATTTATATAGTAAATAAAAGCATTTTATAAAAGAAATAGATAACAGAAGTATTTTCTCTGGACAAGTCAGTAAACCACTTTACTTCCCTAAAGGTCCATGTAAGAGAGGTAAGTTTGAAAATTTGGCTAAAACGCCAACTTAGCCGAACATTTCTATAAATTTATACAGAGCCTTTCAGTAGTCTCCATTGTTTTATTTCTCTAAAATTCCCATTTGTGGTGTGCTTACTCTGATGCTTAAGCAAGATTCTGTTTAAATAGAGCAAATAAAATAGTTCTGAGACATTACTAGATGTTAATGTCTTAAAATGTTAATTATTTGAACCCACATGTTAGATAATATATAATATATAACATATAATTATATAATATTCCATAGTCTGTTCCAATTTTTACAGATTGGTGTTGATTATAGTAGGTTTACAGTTTTGTTCAGGATAGAAAGAATCTGTTTGACCTATAAGATCTGTATCAGCTGAACAATTAGTTTTTCTTTTTTTTTTTTTTTTGTTTTAATATTTAAACCTTATGTTTTTCAGGTTGCAAATTATTGTACAAACAGGATTTTGCAAGACGTTTAGGATTGAGATGTGTTACTTGCAACTATTGTTCTCAGCTGTGTAAGAAGGGAGCAACTAAAGAACTTGATGGTGTCGTGAGAGATTTCTGCAGTGATGACTGCTGTAAAAAATTTCAGGATTGGTATTACAAGGCGAGTAACTCCAAATTTTTATTACAGCAGCTACTTTAACCACTATTTAAAAATATTGTGTAGCTGTTACCATTACAAATACGGCAACTTATTTATTTTAAAAATGTACACACTTTAGGCCTAGCCCTGATTATACTGCTCATTAAAATTATTTTGTCATTTCAGTGTGTTCTTTATAACTGGAAGTAGCATTTTTACTTTTTTTTGTTTTTATATAATTTAGGCATTACCAAAAGACTAGGGTGCACCTGTATTTCAGCAATGTAGTTTTTAACAAAACAGATTATTTCCCTAAAATTTGCTGTGTCTTTATTTCACTAAATAGAAACATTTTTTACTACATTATCAGTGTTGAACATTAGCAGGTAATTGTTTTGGATACTTGGGATGTGTTTTAAAAACATTTTGTTCTTTTTTGCCTTTTTAATTGTGGATTTTTGGAGACTTTCAAATTGAAAGGACACTAGAGACCAAAAACGTTTAATTTGAAACTGTAAATAAATATGTGTGTGTGTATGTCCTATTAAAATCTACTTTTTAAAAAGTCGAGGTAAGTCTCTTGTGGCCCATTGCTGCATTAGTTTCTTTCTAGATAAGAAAATGAGTGTAAATTTGGACTTCGGGTATTCAGATGTTACTCAAGAAAAAGTTACTAATTCCTGTGTCAATAACATGGAAAACCATCTCAATGCTAAAACTTCCTATGGATGCAATTGTAAAGCATTTTTTGAAGACAGACATCATCCTGACTTCAGAATTGTAAGATACCTCTAAAGCAACAAACAGTAAAATGGTTGAAATATGGAGAATACTGTTTAGCTCTTTGTGAAGGTGGTTAGTGTTAAAATGACACTACTAGGAGAATTGCAGCAATTCTTAGTGCAATTCTTGAATATCTACAATTCAACATATTAACTAGCATTTTATAAATAAAAAGGAAGATACTTTTCAAGTTGTTGGAGGTGAAATAATTGAGACTAAAAGTTTTGGTGCACTTTTAAAAAACTTACTTTATTATTTTACTTTGCTTCTGAATGATTTTGACCTTAAAATTAAGGCTCAAATTTTAGAAATTAACACAGAGGACAAACATACTAACACCCTCAAACATGCATTTTTTTTAGTCTAAAACACCCTTTTGTTTAGACAGTAGTGTTTTTGAGAAATCACTCAGAAAATGGGTAGCTTGAAATGCTCAGTTTTAGTTTAGCACACACAAATGCACCTTTCTCCCCATTGTTTAGGAGGTTTTATTTTTGAAAACCTCTCAAAATAATAAAGGCATTTAGTGATTATGAATTTGGAAATTCCATTTTATTCTTATGCCTGTTTTCCTTTTTATAATTTATCTTATTGTTTGAGACAGGAGTTGTTACCATGTGATAATAATGATGATTTCCCTGTCGTTTTTTTATTGTACAAATTTTTGCCTAATCGTGTAATTATGAATCTAAAATTTTAATATTTCAAAATAATCTTTCATGGAGGATTTTTTTTTTTTTTTT